ATGACAGCAGCAGCAGGTACAATTGTAATTTTCCACTTTTATTGATTTCACTTGTGACTATGTAGTCTCTACATGGACGTCTACAGTATTTAACACAAGCAGAAACACAACACACATACATGTCATTACACAGAGCAGCACATCCTAATGACCCAAGGGACAGAATAAGCCTGAAACACAGGAAGCTGCTAAAATAAGCAATTTTATAACTTCTTTATTTTGGGATGTATGGCCCATAATTAAAACATCCACATACTGCCACGTTTATGATTTCATTGTTAAAAACATCATCCAAATGTCTTTAAAGCTCAGAGTAAGAAATCTTTTCAAGACATTTTTGGGTGGGATTTTTTTGCAATGGAAGCAGGTGAGAACTTACGTTACTTGTTTCGATTACTGCACTCTGGTCTTGGTTTCTGAGTAACAGCTGACAGAGTAAAATAACACACAGTGCTATACACACCATGATCCAGGCTATACAGAAATTCTTCAGGCTCTTGCTGCCTAGAATGACATACAAACAAATTAGCTGAAAAATAACATCTGCTGTTGATTTAAGGTTACTTTTTGTTTGCAATATAAATATGTAAATTTAAAGGTACAATTTCACATATCTTTTTCTTGGCAGCAATGTAAATCCACCTCTTTCTTCTGGGCTCTGTGCCCAGCCCTGCTCTCTACCATAGTTGTGCTGTGTCTTTGTGCGACAACGGAGGGGAGCAGTGCTGGAACAGGAGGGAACTCCGTAAACAGGCATTGCTACCAAGAGAGAAAATTTTCATGCTCGGTTCATCTGTTACATTAGCTCCTAATAGTTTACTATTAAGTAACAGCTGGTAAACAGCAGACTGCAAAGTAAAATAGAATGTAACAGTTTCTTTCAACACATCTTGATTAATAACTGCAAAAGCAAGGATATTTGAAATTTAAATTAACAAACATTTCTTTAAGATAAATATGTAATCTAAGTGCTGTGCTGGACCACTGTCTACGTCCATGGTTGGCTAGATACTGAGCCTTACTGAGACTCACATATTCAAAGACATGGACTCCATCTAGGAAGTCTCCATAGACATCTACAAGACAACTTGAAAATGGCAGACAAGCCTACAGAACTCCGGAGCTACATTATCTTCTGTATCTACAAGATGCTGGTAAAGTCCTGCAGTCACTGTCACCAATGGAACACGTTGCTGTATGGCGTTAGTAAGCCTGTCCTAAAGACCTGTAGTCTAAATAACACAGACTTAGCAGTGCTGTTCCACAGGCTACACTTTGAGATGCAAAACTGAACCAACTTGTCCCGGGGAACTGCTCCAGAACTGGGTATTGAAAAGCCCTCTTTCACAGCTTTAATCGCAGTACCATTCCTCCCTCTCCAGCTACGCAAACCATTGAGCTGAAACAGGCACTGGCAGCTACAACGTACAAAAGCCTGTGTTTGTTTTCAAGAGTAGGCAGCAGGAAGGAAATATCTTCAGCACTGACCTATCTCCAGGTTTATTATCAGTTCCATATTGAATGAATCTGCTTTATCCCTATTTAGTCTGCTGGGCAGGCATCTGTTTTACTTCAGCTTTTTGTTACCTCTGCTGTACCATGGATTTTCTTTGATAGGGTTTTTTTTTTTTTTAGATTGATGAGTTAATGTTTTTGATTTGATACAATGTGAACAGAGCTTTCTGTCTTCCATTTCAGTCAAAACAGTAGTCCATTGGTAGGCTGAATACTACAACTACTGCCAGGATTTTATGAAGCACAACTCAAGTAATTTCATTCCCCTTGAATATGTTTTTGTAACTATATGTATTGATACAGAACACATGAAGATGTCAAGATATTTTATGCTATAGGCAAATAAAGTCCAGTTTCGATCAACATGGAGGAAACTAAGTGAACCACACAAAGAAATAATGCTTGCTTTCAACTTATACATATATTTAGATAGCTGTAAGTAAATAGTAGAACCATGGAGCGATTTAAAATATGGAACCAGATTCCACAAAACTACTGCTCTTTGTATGTCTATGTAAACTGAAAGAACTACATGGAAAATATTTACAGATATTATGTGGGTAAGAAACAAGAAAGGCAAAGAAAAGAAAGGGCAGGATTTTCACAAGACTCTTTGCAAAGTGGAAGCAACAGGCCTAACAACTCTGACCAGAATTTGTGCACACTATTTTTTGATCCATCCAAAAAAAAATTATTTAAACGCTGTAGAAAATACCAAAGTAAAGAGTGTGCTACATCACGGAGAACATTTTAATTGTTGAAAAACCTTACATTTTGTCATCTTCTGATTCTTGAGCTTATAGTAGACAAATTGTGAAATCATAATTATATCCATGTTAACATAAAAAATGGCAGTGACAATCTGAAAGAGAAGATACATTTGCTTGTTCAGTACACAAATAGTTCAAAATACTTTAACTTAGCTGCATGGAAATTTTGCTTCATAATCATAACGTGAATGACAAATACCAAAGCACTGCCAAAAAAAAAAGAAAAAAAAAAAGGAAGTGTTTCCAGTATGAAACAAGTTAGATTGCTGCAGATAAATACAGTGTAAACCTTATGCAACAGGGACTTGCTCACACAATCGCAATAGCTGGTGATTTTCCAGGATGCATAGCACAAATTCCTACCTGGGCAGATTGATAAATCCTTCCTGCCCAGAAGCTTAAGTCCGCTCCACCTAGTTTCCCAGCATTTCAGAAGCTACTAATCTTACTCAGTGCCTCTTCCTCACTAAAACAAAAACAACATTCTCTCTCCCCCTTTTCATAATGGGGAGATGGAACAGTTAGTGCCACACGTTAAGTTCTAAAAGAGAAGACAACTCTGTCCACCCTTGGGTTCATCTCCAGCTTGTGAAGACTTCTACAGGTGGCTGCCACATACCTCTTTCTCTTTTAATTTAGAGTAAAAAAATGAAAACAGCAGATAAGAAAGTTTCAGAGACAATTAACGTATCCCTGACAACTACTGTTTCTTTCAGAGAAACCCTTCCCTTAATGATTAATGAAGACAATACATTTTCAAATTAGTCAGAGATTAACAGCTTTGAACTAGTATTTTCTTGTTAATGAACAGTTTTCTTAAAAAAAAAGAAAAAGCAAGTTTAAAAATTAGCAATCCCAAAACAGCTTTGTCTGTTACAAGCTAAACAACACAACTTCCTTCCAGCCCTATTTGCTCTCAAGCTTACTTTGAAGCTGAACTGAAAACTCCCCACTTCATTCATCATTGAACAACACCCAGTAAATCTCTCCAAATGTTAATTACAAGTGTGACATGGTTCCTATAACACATAGCAGTATCAATGTAAATATTTGATTTATTTTATGGATGGTAGATCAGTGAACAGAATACAAAACCATTTTCCTTCCCAGTATGTACTTCACTGTGCAAAATTAAGTTATCCTAGAGTTTAAAGAGAGAGTTTGAAAAGAATAAATCAAAAAGTAGAAGTATTGACAGGTTACCTGAATTGGCAGTTGATTTGTTAAATAGCAGCCTATGAAATTTGTAAGATCTCCAGCTATCCAACACAGCAGAAAGCCCAAAGACAGCGCTTGATCCACTCTTCCATTCTGATAGGCAGTGTAAATTTGACTGGCACAAATTCCAGAAGTAATTGTAAAATAGCATAAGCAAAAAATGTTTAATAAGCTCAGAAGCACATTTTTCAAAATCTGAATAAAGAAAGATTAAAACTCTAACCACAAGAGACCTATCGCAGCAATACTCCACTTACCTTTTGCAGAACAACTCAGTATCACTATAGCTCACCATGTCTTACTCTAACATAACAAAAGGCTCAAATCACAACCTCATTACTGCTTGCATGTGCTCCTTTTTTGTAGCCTGCACTGAAATACCATTTTCTGGACACCAGAACTATGCCGTAAGCATTTCATATTCATCTGCTGTAAATACCACCCTTTAAAATACTTAAGAGAACCACTGTTGTTTAACATTGAAGGGCTAAGAATGAACAAAGCTTCTAAAAGAGTTGACAACTACACTTATGCCTCTAAATTACAGAGCTGTTATTCAGATTCACAATGGGGACTAGGAAGCAATCCCAAACCTGAGTCCATTAGACCTATCTTGATGAATTCCATGCTCACTAACATGACAGCTTTAATGTAAAGCCCCCTTTCAACTAGTATTTCTGAAGCTCAACAGCTTACTAAGAGTGGTTTTATTTTGCTTGATTTCCATAGCCCTTTTACTAGTTCAGTAAATTACATCCCCCTTATGGGGACAGCCTTTGGAGGCAATCCCATTTTGTCAGGCATTTTCACCTGCTGGGAGCATTTCTACTTCTCCTTTGTCATCTTCTACCTACATATTTGCAACCTGAACCCAGTGCCAGCGACCAAACAGCAACTCATTTAGCATTACCGAAGCGCTAACTCATGTGCTGCTTCTGACCTTTTCTCAATCCAAATTTCACTGGCAGGAGCCAGCACAACAGTACTGGAGACATAGCATGTGGTTTATTTAAACACTGAGCCAGCTTCTGCTGCAAGTGTGCCTGCGCGTGCACACACATCTCAGGGTGGAGAAGATAAGAGAGGAGAGGTGATTTATTCTCATTTGCTTTAAGTGGCAGAGATTAGTGTCAAGTCAGTACAACAGAACAGTACATCAAGCTCATTTGTCAACCACCAAATATTGTTGCAAACATGAACATCATGCTTCTCTGGCATATTATATCTGTATTATGCAGATAGAGAAACATATCCAAGATAAAATTAAAAAAAAGGCAGCTTTTGAAAAAGGCTTCAGGCAAGATTACTGATGTTTGAATCTGAGGACTGCTTAAGACTTTAAACTTACGGTAGTGCAGCAAACAGAAAACAGACAATGGAAATCAGTCCTGTGACAACGCTCCAATACTCCCACACATTCTCGACACATTCTTCTAGGAGATGCCAAATCCATGGTGTTCCATTTATGCACAATCTCCTATTCTCTACTGGGGAGATATTGAAAGCATGTGTATACAGCTGAGAAGCCATCATTCCTGGACCAAGGTTCAATTTCAGAAGTTTATTTCTGCCTCCATTTTTACCCCATGCAAATCCGCAAATCCGTTTACCAATGCTGAATATCCTCTGTGAAAAGACCTCTGCATCCAGACGGATGCTTGATATCACAGTTATTTCCAATCTCATAAACAAACCTGCCAAATTCAAAGAAATAAATATAGCCAGTGTGAATAAGACATTAACCGTACCATGCTTGCTTATATTTATTGCTTACAGAAGAGAAGTTAGACTTCCAAGAAAGAAAAACTTTGTGGTCCATGGCTTTCATTAACTTTTGACAAATATGCAGCACTCCAGATTTATATCACTATAGCATTTTAGTCTGAGGTTGTGTTAGAGACTGCCAGTTACACTGATGTGCCAGCAATCTGCTACAGGGTAAAGTAAACCAAGCAATTCCTTTGCACTTAAGACCAAAACTCTGATTTTCATGTTCAACGTTATGCCAATGAAGTAACAGTACTAGCCCAGATTCTGAGCGTTCTACTCACACTTACAAAACATAAACATAACGTTGCTTTCTATGCAACTAATTTCAGGATAATATTATGAAAAAGAAGTAATTTATGACTCCGATTCCAGAAGAGCTCTAAGGTCTACTTGATCTACTTAGCCCATCAGACTAACTAGTGATTCAACTTCATGTCAGACAGTTTGCGTTATTTAATACTCCAGAGCAAAGATGGAAAGCGTAAGAAACTTGCAGAAGGAAAATGTTCTACTGTACTCCTGCCCCAAAATCCCCATAATGAAACACAATAGTACAACATGGCTTAAATTCTGAAGCAAGGAAGGGTTAGGTTTGACCTTTAAAAATATTTTTTGGTAGCCAATTATTATGATTCTGGATATTTTTTGTTTCTGCTGAAATATCCATCCTATTTGAAATTTTAGTATTTACTTAGAATGCTAACCACTACAAAATTGAAGAAAATTTTAACAAAAATGCAGAATTATCTATGACTATTCCTTGAAACTTCCTGCTGCCAAAAACCAGCTGGTTTTCCACTA